AACCTTATCTAAAATGACACCAGGAAACCAATTACCATTCGGTTCCCTTTGAACATAGACTTTTTCATTGGTATATAATTCTGGTAATGGTCTCTTACCTCTATTATAGTATTTTTCTTGCTGCTGTTGATTTTTGACAATAAAATCTTTCTTATATGAATAATTTATTTTTGGCTTAGATTCAATTTTAGTAATCATTAAATTAGTTCTAAGTTTCCTGGACATTAAAAGTTCTGCTGGTGAAATATTATCAAAAATCGGGGTTGATCTGTAATGGAGAAGAGCCATATGAATGTCTTTTTTATCGCTAATAATTTTTTTGAACATTTTCTTAGCAGTTTGCACATTTCTTTCGATCATGCCATTAGACTGTGCATTCGTTGGAGAAGTAACGATATGTTTGAATTCCCAATCTTTACAGAAAGCGTTAAATTCCTTAGATGTTAGCTGAGTGCCACCATCACTAATAAGAACTACAGGAATTCCATGTCGTGAAAATACTGATTTCAGAATTTTAATAATTGATTGACTAGTAGTATTATTATTTAGATCTTCGCATTCGATATACTTTGAGTAGTAATCTACAATTAGAAGATATTTTCGTTGATTCAGCTCAAAAATGTCACACGAAATTTTATTCCATGGTAATACAGGAATTTCATGGGCTACCATAGGTTCTTTAATTTGTGAGTTTGAGTAAGTGAGACATTGATGACACAGAGAAATTTTGTTTTTGATATGTTCTACCATACCTGGCCAGAATAGTGATTGTTGCGCTAATTTAGTACATTTTTTAACTCATAGATGGCTGTAATGTATACGATTAAGCATTTCTGGTTGTAAGGCTTTAGGCACTACTAAACATTTGTCTTTAAATATCAAGCCATCAGACATTGTTAGCTCAGATTTATGAGGAGCAAACATTTTGATATGATCCTTTAATTTTTTAGAAGAATTAGGCCAACCATTCAAAATTACATTTTTTAGATCTTTTAATACAGGGTCATTTTTCCGTCTGCGTTTGGAATTCTTTAATTTTGTCATCCGTTGCATTAAGTTCAAGTCTAACCAGACAAACTTGACTATCAATTTCCTCATCGAAGTCGTTTGGTTGATCATAAGATAAATATGCCCGAGAGAGAGCATCAGCCAAAATTAGTTCTTTGCCTGGCCTAAATTTTAATTCAATATCAAATTTTTGCAATTGCAACATCATTCTCTGGAGTCGAGCAGGGCATTTGTTCAAGGATTTTTTAAATATAGAGATCAATGGCTGATGATCTGTCTCTACGGTGACCCTTTGCCCAAAAGCATATTGGTAAAACTTATTCAAGCCAAAACAGATTGCATATAGCTCTTTCTCTATTTGCGCGTATCTGGTTTGTGTTTCTGTTAATGCTTTCGAAGCATAAGCACATGGCAGACTATCTTGCAATAAGCAAGCACCCACCCCTGACTTTGAGGCATCAACAGAAATGACTATTTTCTTATTCGGATCAAAGAATTGTAAAACTGGTTTATTTATTAATACTTTTTTTAAATTATGGAACGCTTCTTCATGTTCTTGACCCCAATTAAATTCTACATCACTTTTTAAAAGACTTCGTATAGGTTTTGTTTGATCAGAGAAATTTTTGACAAATCTACTCACATATGTTAGCATACCCAATATTCTCTGAATATCCTGTTTGTTTGTAGGTCTAGGCAACTCCGAAATAGCATTAATTTTTGTTGGATCTGGAGCGATTCCCTTATTGGAAATGATATGACCCATGTATTTAATTTCAGATTGACCAAAACGACATTTATTTAAATTAAATTTAACATTATTTAGTTTAGCTCTTTCTAAAACATTTTTCAATCGCTTATCATGTTCGGTTTTGTTTCGTCCCCAAACAATAATATCGTCAATATAAATGTCAGTCCCCTCAATGTCACAAAAGATACTTTTGAACCTATCTTGAAAAATTTCTGGAGCACTTTTGATACCATATGGTAGACGAAGAAATTTATATCGACCATAAGGTGTTCCAAAAGTGCACAAGTTACTGCTCTTTTTATCTAGAGGAATTTGGTAGAAGCCATTTGTGGCATCGAGAGTGCTAAAGACAGTGGCATTTGCTAAATTGCTAGATATTTCTTCGAATGTTGGTATTCTACAGAATTCTCTTTTAATAACCTCGTTAAGATCTTTGGGATCCAAACAAATCCTTATTTTTCCGTTTGGTTTACGAACCAATACCAAAGCGTTCACCCAATCAGAGGGACCTTCTACTTTTTCAATAATCTTTTCTTTAATTAGGTCTTCCAAACTATCTTTCAAAGGTTTCATTAATGGAAAGGCAACCTTTCTGATTGGCTGGACTACTGGTTTGCTATTTGATTCTAGTTTGATACTACAAGTTTCCTTTATACACCCTATTCCATTAAATAAGGCGCCAAATTCACTAACTAAACTTTTGTAATTATCATTAAGAGTTACACTATCAATTTTTTTGATTAAATTTAAAGAGATGCATGCATTAAGTCCTAAAATTGCTGGAGTGTTACTCTCTACGATAAAAAATTCTAAATCATGCAATACATCTTCTTTCAGACCAGAGCTGGGCAGGGCTTGAGGGCTTTGTGCTTGTAAAAGTGCTTGAAGCACTTTGAGGACTTGAAAGCCCTGTGCTTCAAGCCCTTTTATATATTTGTAATTGGGGCTTGCAAAGTCAATTACATCAGAAAAGTGCTTGGTAATTTGTAATTGAAAAAAAGTAATTCAAGCCCTTTCAATGAGCTTCAATTACTTTTAGAGGGCTTGAAGCACTTTGAAAGGGCTTGAAGCACTTTGAAAGGGCTTGAAGCACTTTGAAAGGGCTTGAAGCACTTTGAAAGGGCTTGAAGCACTTTAAAAGGGCTTCAAGCACTTTAAAAGGGCTTCAAGCACTTTAAAAGGGCTTGAAGCACTTTAAAAGAGCTTGAAGCACTTTGAAAGGAATTTGAATTGACCATCATTCAACCTATCCCCTACCTAAAAATTTTGGATCCACGTGTTTTGTGGCTTAATTTTTTTTCTATTATTTGAACTAGGACCCTCCAATTTCTTTTCTTTATTAATAATGGAGGTTTTGGGTTTGAGCTTAGAATTTAACGATTGTTCAAATAAATAATTAATTTATATAAGGTATCCTATTTAACTTCATCACTGGAATTTTTTCCACTTTTCCTCATTTAACAATTTGAAAACCACAAAATTGAATTACCATGTAGTACTCCAACTACCCCCCCAAGTACCCCAGAACTTCATCTTAAAAAATAAAATAAAGCACTACTGCTACTTTGTAAAATTTAAAGTTCATTTCTATTTCTACTATACTAATCCAACTGATGAGTGTATGTGCGGTAGTTTTGAGAATTGTATCACAAATTCAAAGTACTTTAGGCACATTTCAAGAACTTCAAGCACATTTAAAGAGCTTCAAAGCACTTTTTAAGGCACCCCAAGCTTTTTTGAAAAGGGCTTGAAGCACAAGCCCTTTTCAAATAACTTTGAGGGCTTTGTGCTTGTGAAGCACTTTTGAAAATAAAAGGGAATTTGTGCTTGGAATTGAAAGCACTTTGAGAAAGGGCTTAGGGCTTAGTGCTTCAAGCCCTTTCAGTGAGAGCTTTGCCCAGCTCTGTTTCAGACATGGTATTTTATATGTGCCCATTACCTTTAAAGGATCTCCAGTATAAGATTTTAGTTTAATTTCGGTTTTAACAATTTTTTTAGGATCTAAGCGTAATTGCTTGAAAGAAATAAATGATATAATATTAGCCATTGCACCAGTATCAATTTTAAATGTATGAATTTTGTTATTAATTTCTAACATTGTTGACCATTCATTTGTTTCTCTCAAACCCGCAGAATTTATGTGTCCTATAAACAGTGAGTCACTTACTTGTTCTTGTTTTATCACATTGACTTCTTGGGTTATTTCGTGTACCTCCTTATTGAAATTTTTTTTACGACACTTACTTTCAAAGTGATTTTTAATATGACAGAAGTTACATTCTTTTCCAAAGGCTGGGCACTTGTTTATTAGGTGATTTTTCCCACACCTTGAACAGTTATTTATTGCATTTTGTCCTCTTGTTGATTGTTTATTTTTTTGGTAAACTATGTCCACATTCATACAACTTTCCATGCTCTCGCTCCTCTCCTTGGATATTTCAAAAATAGCGCATTTTTCGATAATTTTGTCCAAAGATACGCTGTCTTCTTCTTGCAGCAACCTCTCTCTAATTTGAGTGTTGTTCAATCCACAAATTAGAACTGTTTTGGTTAATTCTTCTTGGAGATTTCCCAATTTACACTTCATCGCCATTTGCTTAATTTCAGTTGTGAATTGGTCCAACGTTTGGCCTGGCTGTTGCTTGCATGAAAAGAACTTGTATCTCTCATACGTTACATTTTCTTTTGGCAAAAAGTGTGCCTCAAACTTATTCAACAGAATTTGTAATTTGTTTTTCTGATCGGCTGCAAAATTAAATGTGGTGTAAATCTTGAAACCCTCGTCTCCTATAAAATGTAATGCTTGGGCACATTGTATTGCTTCATCTTTTTTGTTAATTTCACTAGCTATTAGGTAGTTTTCAAATCTAGATCTCCACATTTTCCAGTTTTCGGCTATATTGCCTATCATTTGCATTTGTGGCACGCCCCTGCTGTCTCCCATTTTGACGATTATTTCCGAATTTGGGCTTATTTATTTAATTTTTTATTTTTTTCAATTTTTGTTGTCAAATAATTACTCACGACTCACGACTGCGCCATGTTATACTTTTGTTTTTATGGATTTTTATATTTTTAATTAAAACAACAATAGTTTTACTTGCCTATTTATTTACTGACTGCCAGCTCCCAGCTGTCCCGCCACCAGATACCAATGACATTTTACAATGCATTCAATGGACGTACATTCCTTACAACTACTAAAGAAAAAATTTGAGCTTGAAGATGAGCAAACACTAACCTGTACGCATTCTTCATATTTGTTGACTTAAGAAAATCTTCGTCCTCACACTCAAGCCCAAAACTTACGAACGGGCCAGTTTCCATATCGCCCAAATACCCGTAATGCGCAAAACTTTCACCATTTGGCATCGTGGCACACACAAAACTCCTATTTGGTCTCGAAACTTCAGATTCAATCCAGGAAAATGCCATTCCGTTCGAACGAAAACTTTTGTATTCCTGGTCGCAGACTTGTTTGCCTCCTCCGAGTTGGTGCATACGCATGTGAAGATCCCAATCAAAAGCACCAGCTTTCGAGTCATATCTGAAAATTGTCCCGTGGTGTAATTTTTTTCGATATAATTTCTGGAATATTTGCATTTACCTTACTCCAAGATTTTGTCTTAAACGTCTGTCCCAAATATTAACAATATTAAATTCATCCTTGGCACTCCAAAACTTCACCAAGTTTTCCAAATAGTCTCTTTCCTTGTATTTAATTTTCATGTTGACAAAATCGATTTTCTGTCTCAAATAATCAGGATCAGTAATCATTCTAACCAACTCGTGAGACAAATCGGTTAAATATTTGGCAGTATAAGGTCGTAAAATCGTGTTTCCATACAGCTCCATGAAAACTTTGGTTTTTTGGTCCAAACCCATAGTGTTTTGAGGTTGGAGAGCTGTTATGAGAAGCAATAATTGCTTGGCGATGGTTTCCATACAGGATTCAATAACATAGAAGTTCAATTTGATCTAGAGAAATAAGTGATAATGAAATATTAACACAAATTGCTAATTTTAACTTACGCTTCCTTTATGTCGATATCTTCTGGCAATAGTTTTTAGGATATGTCTGGCATCTGTACCTCCAATGATTAATATATTAAAATCTACATTTAAGAATTTCGTTTCTGAGTGAACTTTGAATTCGCTGAACAAATCCAAGGCTGGAGTAACACCCCAAAACATTTTTGATTTAACTTTGCTATATTTTTTATTCCATTTGTAGCAGCTGAAGTTTCATTAAAGATTAAACAACGAAACGAATTCCCTGGTTGCTATTGGTAACCGTGTAGCGTCATGATTTCTAAGGGTTGTCTACACTACATACAAGAGAATAACGACTGCTAAAGACCCATATGTCTGATGAACAAGATAATACATTCTGCCTTTCTTTAGTGTCTCGACAAAAAGTTTTCGTGCATCTAGCTAGTCTCATTTTAGAAGTGTTTGATTTTTCATAATGAATTGGCTTAGATTTAAACGTCCTAATCACAGAATATACAATGACTTGATGTTTTGTTATAAATTATGCGACGTTGCCAAATATATATTTTTCCTAAACTGAGGAAATTTTATGCAATCTAGCAACACGACATGGGATTACCAATGGATGTCTGTCCAAATACGAACTCAAACTCTCAACAAATATATCTGATGACTACCAGGAATTTCGAAAATGGAATTTATCGTTGATGAAACAATCTAGCGAATAACTACGAAAATATCTACTATTTTGAGAGTTATTTTTAGACGCTGCATGACGAACACTCTAGTTTAATATTGCCAAAATCAGATATAAAACTAAATATAGCAATGGAAACGTCCCCATAAAAAGACGTATAACATTTTCAACCGTTGATTAGGGTCCCTTATCGATTCCAGATATTTTATTGTAAATGGTCTGTACCGGATGCGGCTCATTTTTACCGTAAAATATGTTCGGAATGATAATGGTGATTGGAAACGCTATTATTTTTTGTTTCGGGATAGAACTTTGGCGATTCCACAAAATTTACCGTTAATTTAATTGGATCCGAATTGTGAAATTTTCGTGAAATAATATATTGTCATTTTGCAGCTTTACTTTTTGAAATTGTTTTGTTTTCCGCATGATAATATAATTAAAAAATAAATATGGCTCTACATAGGGTCTGATTTTTTGTGCATGTTTACTAGAAAATAGCTGTCATTTATGTTGATTCCACTGCGCACTCTGAGTATCAATTTTCGAGTATCTGCATGACTGATGAGTGCGCCAATTCAGGTGACTGGTCTTAAATAATTATTAATGTACAGTGGGAATCATTCATTGAGTTAGGATGGTAGGGAGACGCTATAAGTATTATTTCGCAAGGAGATAAACGGCGCACTGGGCGTGGCTAATAGTCATAACAATATGGATGCCAGGACAGGTCCGGACTGTCTAAATTTATAAGAATTGATTATACTAAATTTTGAGTAATAGATTTTTTTCTTTTAATAACATAACATAACATGCTGATGATTGATCGATGTATTAATCAGAAAAATGCTTTGAACACAGAACACTGTATTTTGTAGGTTTCTATCTACAAACTGCAACCAGACCTTCTGAAGTGCAGGATCTTTGGGAAATCTGAAAGGAAAACAATTTTTACTTGCTCTTTGCTTGTTAGTTGATGTAAAATGGGTGATAGTTTCATCTACGCCTTGGCGAAAGTTTTAAAAATATGCCGTAAAAGCCTTTTTTCCATTCTTAAAAAAAAAATGTTTTAACAAATAATATCACAGCATAATTGACAAGATAAAAGCCAGAAACTATTTAAATGAAGAAATAGAGAAATAAATATTTGAAATACTTCCCTGTTTACTGTTATTTTTTTGTCTACTAACCTATGGTATGTTATTCCGGTCGATTTCTTTTTATCAACTGCATGCCTGCTATTGCAGCTACGAAGGGTACATGACACCATTATTGTCTTTCACTATATTGTTCAAAATATCACACAGAAGTACAAAAGGCAAGTAAAAACCCAAAAACTTGATCAGACAACCAAGTGACAACTCGTTGACGTAAGATTCGTATCAATATGGCGGACCTGAATCCGCTTTCGACCACGTGATCGCATCTCCCTACCATCCTAACTCAATGGAATCATTGCAATTGGCACACACTATATAAATATCCCTCGTAATGTGTCAAATCTGACACACAGTAATAGCAAAATGCTGCACTAAGTAGATTTATTGGTTAGAATTTTGACTTAAATACGAGGGATTTTAAAGAGTGTGTGCCAATTGCAATGATTCCGACTTTACCTACCAAGGGCGCAATTCAATGACCTATTAACACAGATAGACAGAACATCCCATTGATAAAATAGTTTTGTTTGGTTGACTACATGTTTATGGGCCAGAGGGGTGAGCTGTGAAAGCGGCTAGGAGTAGGGATTCAAATGGTTCCGCTAACTCCGCCCCCACTTTACTATCGCATACTTGGCAACTCTGAACATTAAACCAGAATCAGTGCTACAAAAGTGTATCCTTATCCTTATATTTTACATAATTTTAGAAAAATATGCGGATACACTCACTGCGCACTGATTGACAAATGCAAATTGTCATAAAATACCTGTAGGTCGCATTTTGACATGACAATAGACCTATCTATTTTTACCTGGTATGCGCGCGCAACACGAGGCAATGTCTTTTTATTGGACAGCTAATACAGGTGTAAGGTGATCGTTTTGCACGCTGGGCATCTCTTTATCCTTGTTCATTGCACGTGGTCTGACAAGAATAAATCTAAAGTTGATATTCAACTTGACAAGTGTCATTCAAAAGTTGTTTGACATTTTCATTGAAAAATACTTTGCACAACACGCGGCTTGTCTCCTTTCCTTTTTATCCTGTGCAAATAAGAAGGACGGATTGCTATACGTAAGTCTAACATAATTTGGTACGTTTCGCCTCGTCTTGCGCAATGAAGGTTCTGTGTCTTTTTTTATTTAATGAAGTTTTCGTATTATTACCTCTTTGTCTGGTAAAATAGATAGGTCTAATAGAAGCCGCTGATTGATGGAAAGATGGAATCCACCTATCTTTTATTACCTTGACTGCGCGCGCAACTCGTGGGCTGCAGGTGAGCATCCAATGAAAAGCGAGTTTGTTACGGGCTTGCGTCATATTCTTATTTAGGTGCCAGTTCAGAATTAATCGCTCCTTCTTTCTTTGTAACGTGTATTTTGACAAAGAGCAAACTAATACTTTACGTATTACTTCTGAACTCACCGCAGTGTTGTTTAAAATTATGTCAGATTATACTTGACACATTCCTTTGGACTTTTATTGTGCAATGTTGCCGGATGAAACATTTATCAAAATAAAAGTGCCAACGATGTGAACATACACTTTAAAGCTCTTCTTCTATCTGATTTAAGGCGTTGTAAAAAACTTAACACTATATCACTTCTTTAACGTTATAATGTTCGATTTGTATTGTCTACATTTGTTCTGCAACAATACAAACTGGCTACACTGAAACCCACTAGTTGCGCGCGCATGTCATCTCTTATTACTTTCTAACTTGTATTTATTACAATTAAGCTCTCTTTTTCTATTTATGCGAGACAGGTCAATTCGAGGTGGAGTTTATTTTTTTCCAGCGTTGCTAATTTTCATTGAAAAATAATTGCTTTCCACGTGTTAGAGAAAGATACAATATAACACAAGGATTAATAAGTAGTGGGGAGAGATGCGGTTCCTGGGATGTAGTCAACCTATATTATTGTTTATTGTTCTGTCTATCTGTGTTAATAGGTCATTGGCGCAATTAGGCAATCCAACGACCTGTCCAAATGGCGTCTTGTTGGCAAACAATAAACAAAAAACATATGTTTTTTTTTGACAGGCTTAAACCTAGTACTCATAACAGCGAAATTCGCTCTTTTTTGACATTGTTTCGACAATTTGACGTTTTATGCGTGAATCAAACGTCAAATTGTCGAAGCAATGTCAAAAAAGAACGAATTTCGCGGTTATGATTACAGGTTTTATCAATACACGGAGCGAGTACTCAAATCTGACACTTTTCTGACATCGTTGACATCTATCAGCCCGTATTCTAACCTCATAAAAATTTTAAAATGCCGGCTGGTTGGCAAAAGTCACGTGGTTTGGATTCCCTAATTATTAATAAATAGGGAACGCACCCCCTTTCAAAGTCAAAATAATAATAAACAAAACTCGTGATTATTCGTAAATTACTATCGTTGAATCATTTCCAAGCGGCAGTAATGACATTTTAAATAACCTAAATTGTGAACAAACACCAGCTGGTAATCCAGCCTTCCTATTGGTTGAAACACCCTACCAGGACCAGTGCGCATGCACGGAGGACATTTGACAGGTTGTAATAAAAATGACCAGTTAATGTCATTACTGCCGCTTGGATTTGATTCAACTGCAGTTACCAACCAAACAAATATTCACCAAACGGCAACCAAAAGTAACCGTTGGCAAGTATTTACTGAAAATTCCGATTACTTAGGCAACGCGAGCTTCCGGCGTCTTTTAAAAAATAACCTTTAATTTTTTTCTGTATAGAATAAAATATAATTGAGAGAAACGACATTCAATTTGATCATTTTGCTTCGTTTTGATGGGTAAAAATCACCAATTTGTGCCAGTGTTTGTTCAATTTTTAACACCTCCATCACGGTGGCACTTCGCGGCCCAGCGGGCCGAAAAGTATCAAATTGGGCCCGCAAATTGGGGTGCAAACAGGTGCTTTGCTGCTCGGTCGTACATAAAAAATTCTCCCTGTCTAAATGTAGGCTGTAGAGAGTTCTTAAATTTGTTGAAGATATATTCTGCTGAAAAAGTTTCTTGGTTAATAAATGGTTGTAAAATCTGTTTATTTACAATCATACATGTAATGTTGACTTTACTGACTTTTAAAAAGGTCGAAAATGTCACTTTTTTGACTTTTACTTTCGGCCCACGGGTCGAAAGTTTACTTTCGACCCGTGGGCCGAAAGTAAATGAAATTTTTAAAATTTATTGTATTTTTTGACTTTTACTTTCGGCCCACGGGTCGAAAGTTTACTTTCCTCCCGTGGGCCGAAAGTAAATGAAATTGTTAATCATTGTATTTTTTTAGTTTTAATTCAAATGAAAATGTCAAAATTCGAATGATTGTAAATAAAATAGTATACATACCTCGGTGAAAAGTTTCATCACAGTAATGAAACACTTTCCACCTCGGTATGTAATATACTATTTTTT